GGCGAAACGGCTGAGCGATGGGTGTGAAATGTGTATGTGAAATGTGTATGTGAAATGGAGGCGACGACGGATTCGCCTCGAAGTCAGGCAGCCCGACAGCACTGCTGCCTCGGGACGGCGCCTGTTTCTGTCTTTGCGGCGAGAGGTACAAGAAAACTGAGTGAAAGCTAGAAGGTGTGCCAACAGCCGGATCAAGGTGTGAAATCGTCTGTCAAATGGCAGGGCGTATGAAAATTGGGCCCCCATTTTTAAGTTAGTTGGCCTAGGTTGCTTACGGCGACTAAAGAACGGACAGTTGGTGCATCACACACAATTAAATTAATAAACATGAGGATGTCATTGAATTCTACGTTGACACCAAAGTAGGTGATATTCAAGGCAATACACATTGTCATTATGGGATTGCGAAAGTGAACCAGCAAAAGGCTCATACTGGTCGGCGAAAATTGTTAGTTGAAAATAAAACAAATCGAGCAAGGCTATGAAATAACAACCGACAGTCATTAATTTCACCATTTGTGTAAAGCAGGTATTAAAAAGAAATGAGTAGATCATTTTTCGATTGGCAATTCCGTTACTCAAATAATTTCCAAAAAGGTAAATGCACAAAAAGTAGAATTTGAGCAAAATAGAAATCTATTAAATGCCAGGTTAATTAGATGCTAGGGTCAAGAGTAGTCTTCACGATCGGGGAGGCCCAATAAGAGGTGGTTTAACAAGAAAAATAAAATGAAATAAAATAAAAATAAATAAGACTCCTCAAAAGATAGATGAAGCATCAATGCGCAGAGAAGAGCGTAAAGGCATAAAAGTAAATCATACAAGTGGGCATGGGATAAGTTAGAAAAAATATGTCATAAACAAGGCAGCAAGAAGTAGTGCGGCACGCAACGCAACTTGTAGGCACAAATCACACTCCTTCTTCCGTTCACTAGAAACACATGACAAGCCAAACTGATGGGCTGATGGTCCTTTATAGCCCAAAAAGACAAGCTCGATGTACTGAATGACAACTTGAACTTATTGAAACGCTAAACGACTAAAGTAGGCTTCGATTCCTGCTAGAAGTGAGGAGATCTAGTCGAAGACTCGTGAAAACTCGTGTCCAAGGGCAGGGATGGGAGGATCTTTTGGCGCGTTTCGACGTGGTATCAACTCGTGTGAAGGCTAATGAAGTACTAACACGCAGCCTGGATG